GAACTGTTTGTTCCTGAGTCTCTTCCTTGGAATGTGGGGTGCAATGAAGAGATTGTGGTCACAGTTGACCACAAGCCAAATATGACTCAACCTGCTGGGGTTCTTGTGAAAGACAGTCAGGGGCTCGAGGTGGCTGGGTGGGAAGGGGAAGGTGGCTTCTTACTTCAGCTCTTCAGAGAGGTCTCCCCAACCGAAGGCAGAGAGCATGGGGGTGGGCTGTTTATGACCAGAGGAGGGTAGCTGTTTATGACCAAGGTGATGGCATAGGAGTCCTATAGTAAACACACTTCCTGAGCCCCTGCTGTGCAGATAGGTAGGTGGCACCAGGCCTCGGGGAACTCAGTGTATCCTGAGCGGGTCAAGTGAGTTGCCTAAGGGAGACTGTGGGTGCACATCGGTTGGTAATAAGGAGAGATGGGGCGATCAGTAAGGGCTTCTTATAGGAGGCAGTTCTTGCAACATCAACTTCCCAGGCAAAATAGGTGGTGGCACAGGAGCCAGGGGCCAGGAAGGCCTTGGGTATGTGTGGGACACCGGGATCCTAGTTTCATTGGAACAGAGTCTAGGTCCAAATGAGGTAGAGATGGGCAGCCTGGGGCATGTGGGGTCTGCACCCCCCCCTGGTTTATAGGAGGAGGTTGTAGGTCAAGGTGGTTGTTAAAAATGTGACCTTGGGAGTCACTGAGTTGAAACCCACTGCACTTTGGGTTATACGACAGCTTGCCTAACCCCCGGCCTCAGTTTCCTCACTTGGAAAATGGGACCTTTGAGGGCCATAGACCTTCCAGGGCAGTTGTGCAGATTCAATGAGGCAAAGTATGTGAAGAGGAAATGGTTTTTGAAAGGGGTATTGTTGACTGCTGCTTCAATGGTAGCTGGCTATGTGTGGTTGCTGATGGCTTTCCTCACCATTGCCAACAACAGCAGCAGCTCCTTAAGTTGGCCAGTCCCACAGGCACAGGGCACAGGGCCAGAAGGAAGGGCTGGATGAGAGAGCTTTTGCAATTGCCCCAACTGCTCTGGCTTCCCTGGGTGGTGATGAGCAGAGCCCCAGACTGGAGAGAGCAACAAAACAGCCACTTCCTTCCTTGCTGGGGTCCTGCAAGCTGTGGTTGCCAACCAGGAGGAGGTGTGAAGCTGCTTGTGGCTGCTGAGACAGCCCCAGCCCTGGCCCTGCCTTGGCCCCTACTGTGCCCCCTGGTGCCTTGGTGTCCTGCCCTCCCCAACTCAGTGGGGTTCTAGGGTCACACCCTGTGTTCCTACATTGTGCAAACAACACTCTCTCCTCCAAAGATTCCTAGGGTCTCCCCCTCCTTTTGAGGAGAGACTTCAGTTTCCTTTTATCCTAGCCAGAGGCCATTCTCCAACATGTGGGAACCCTTGTCCTTCCAGAGTACTTCCTCCTAATTCTCTCGGCTCCCAGCCTTTACATGGCTACTGCCCCTGGATTAAGCAGCCTCACTGGTCTCTCTATTTCATGCCTGTACTTTAAAAACAACCACTATTACCCTCACGTCTCCACCATCACCACCCAAGACAACAAATTGCATCTTTTACCCCACCCCACCACCACCAAAGTCAAACAAACTGCTGATAACCCCAACGGCAGTACCATCAACCAACATCAAATGAAATGACGATGGATTCTGCTACCAATGTCCCTACCATCACCCACCACCACCACCACCCACCTGTCCTCACTAGCCACAGCAACCCGTAATAACTTACCACCATCAAGATCACAATACGAGGCATCAGCAACCACACAGCCAACTACCATTGAAGCAGCAATCAACAATACCCCTTTCAAAAAACCAGCAGTACATCACCACCACTGCTGATGTTGTCACCAAAAATGAAAAATGAACTACCAACACAAACAAACATCATCTTCAGTCACCCAACTCTGAATAGCAGTGACCACAAACTGCCATTATTCCATGGATCTACCCTCAGGATCAAAGCAACCAACCACCATCCATCAATGTTCATCACCAGCTGGCACCGAAAACAACCATCACCACTGCCAACCCACCCACGAGAACCATTGTGACCACCAACGTGCAACAACCAAGAGCAACATCATCACAACCAATGGCACCAACAACCCAACAGCTCAGCAGTTACCTTTCAACAAAAACTCCTCTTCAGCCACTAAGAATGAGTCACCTCCGCACACTGTGATCACTAACTCCAGCCATGAATAAGCTATGAACATTGTTTCACTGAACCTTTCAACACTCCCTGCACCTATCACTCCTCCAGGCAGATGTCAGAGGTATTGGCCTCATGGATGGGTCCCACTCTTTTTTTCTGCTGTGGTCCTCTGGGGTGAGTCTCTCCCTTCCCAGACTCATTACCAAGCAAACATTGACTAAGCATTTTCCACACAGCTTCCTTGGGAGGGGCTGCTTTTCTCTCAAGTAGCAGATAATTTCCTGTGTTCTTTTGATCAAAGCCTGCCCATCTAAGCTCTCGAGTCTTCCTGGCTTGGCTCCTTCTTGGAAGAGTTTCTGTCCCAAGCCCAGAGCTCTAGCTGATGGCTTAGTTGTAAATTACCCAGGTGGATCTTTGGCCAAAGATGCCCAACTTGTCATCAGCTTTCTGAAGTAAGATGTCCTCTCAGACTAACACAGATGCTGCCTCTTGATCTACCTCCCTGCCTCCACCTTGTCCAGCTGCTTGCTGCAGCTGCCAGAAGTCCTGCAGTTGTCACCACTGGCTCTGTGACTGTTCCAACCCCACGCCCTCATTGACAGGATGACAAAAAATGAAAGTTGAAGTGGTTGCAGATGCATGGAGCTGTGGGGGTGACTTTACCACCAGCTCAGGCTCTCTCTTAATGTGTATGCTTGATGCCGTTGGCTTTAAACCCATGACTGTGACAGACTCCCCACAGTCACTATTAGACCTCACCCTCACAGGCAGGACGCCTTTGCCTGCAGTGCCTTCCTTGCCATCCTCACATGGAAGGGTACCAGTGGTGGTGCAGATACGCTTCTGGGATTGCTGCAGCCAGCCCACCCGTCACCACCAGGCATGCTGTCACTACACTGTACCCCACCACCCATTTAACACAGCTTCCCCCTGGTGTGTACTCAGAGCGGCTAAACCCACAGACCCTCTGAAGTTCCAACTGAGAGGTTCTCAATCGACTTCCAAATATGGCCTATGTGGGAACTAAGGCCCAGAGAGGGGAATTGACTTTCCCAGGACCATACGGGGAGATAAGGCACCAAGCTGAGTTGGAAACCAGGTTTCCTAAGCCCTAAGAAATGGGTATGTCCCTGTCCTTGCAGACACTGGATTCCTCAGGGCCACCTTCAATCCTCCATTTCTTGCCTCCCTCCCCCCCCATCATTATTCTGGCATCCTGTCCACCATTAGATGGGAGTTTGGTCCTGGTGAGGGATGCTGGGAGCACATGAGCTGCATGGAGGGACCCCCTAAAGGGCCTGCTGTGCCCCATTCACATGGCTGTACTTTCTGATGGTGGCTTCCAGGGCACCTCCACCTGACTGGGACCCCCAACCCCTGCATTTCAGGGCCCACTTCCTTGAAGGACTTACCATGGTGGGGGTGGTATCTGGGTTCCAGGCGGTGCTTGAGTGGGTTGTGGTAGGGGTGCAGGCTCAGGGGGTTCCGGGGGGTGGTTCAGGCATGGCCCTGCATCTCCTTCACCAGGCTCCCAGCCCTAGTTCCTCTTACAACAGCCCCCCCCTTTCACTTCCTTTGGCGGGAGGGGCCGTGGCTACTGGGGAGGGAAGCTAGGCCCGGGGGGCGGGGAGAGAGCTCCAGCAGCTGGCAGGGCTGAGAGCTGGCTGTTTGGGGCTCTGAGCCAGAAGGGAGAGGTCAAGGGTTGGTGGAAGCAGCTGCCAGACCCCAGAAAGCCCCTTCTCCAACTCCTTGGGGACAGGGGTTGCAGGAAGGAGCACACAGGTCAGTTGGCTGCAGTACTGACCGCTCTGTTCAAGGTGGCCCCCAGGAAGCATTTGGGCTGCCCAGATCTCTACAAAACTGCTTCCGACACCGGTCTTCTCTGGGCATCCTGAATGAACACCTGCTTCCAGAGCGGCCTCAGATGGTCCTTTATGACAGTTTTGCACGTGCCCATGTGTCAGGGGAAGGGCAACGGGAGTGGCAGGTACCAGGAGCCAGGTGCACTTGGAAGGTCCAACTTTGGAGGTCAGATCTGGAGTTAACAAACCCTAGCTCTGCTACTTCTGGGGTCCCCCTATTTTCTCATCATAAAACGGGGATGCAGGCCTCTCCAGCAGCATCTGGCAGAAACTGGATCCATAAAATGTGGGCCCATGTCCTGATCTTTGGGAAATCAGCAGGCCACATACTGGTCTCCTCCTGACAACTGGGGAAATGGCAGTTCTGAGAGGTCATCACCTCCCCGTGCCACACAGCAAGGAGGCGGTGGAGGCAGCAGCCTCGCTGCTGGGAAAGCCCGGCAGGGAGGGGGGCGGGGAATGCCTGTGGCCCAGGGTTGCACAGCATCCTACCTAGAGGTTGCCAAGGTGTGTCTTCCCCTTGTGGCCACATATGAGGAGGCACCCTTTTCTCTCTCAGTTGCTTGTGCACCTTTGCTCGCGGGATTGGTTTGGCACCTGCAAACCTCAGCAAATGCCTCCGGGCATTAAGGGTGAATACTAGGCAGGAGGACCTCCACTCTGTTGGCCATAAGGGAAGGCAACCTTGTGCTGAGGGCAGGTAAGTTGGAGCTAACCAGATGGAGAGGGGAAGGGGAAGGCACACCTGGCCGAGGAAACAGCTCAAGCAAAGGCAGGTGTGGCTGGAGCTTTCAGAGTGACCAGGAGTGTTGGTGGCTGGGTTCGCAGGTGTCAGACCCCGAGACTGTGAGAGACTCTGCAAGAAGCCATACATTTGCCCTAAGATCACTGGGCTCTAGTTTGTGTTGGCAAAAGCCCCCTTCCAGGCTGCCGGGCTGCTTGCAGTCTGGGTCAGGGACACACACACACCAGGTGCACAAATCTACACAAGACAGAACTTTATTGATGTAGCACTTCCTGGCAAGGGGTGTGCGGGCCCCAGGGCAGGGCCTGTAGCACCATGATGGGGGTGAGCAACCGGGCACCTCTTACCCACCCCTGTAGCTGGTGTTGTCAAGGGGAGGGTGCTAGGAAGTCGTGCTAATTCCCTTTCCCCATGGTGGACAGAGACCCCCTCCAGCCCAGAGTGGAGGGAAAGGGCAGTGTTGGGGATCAGGGCACTGGCTGACCCCCTCCCCCACCCCCACTCTTCACAGTATGTATTCCAACCAAAGGTGGGGGATTTTAGGGGGCTCCCTAGGGGTGGGTGGAAAGAGCGCTAAGTCAAACAGTCGTTCTCTTCTCAACCCACCCGGAGGGGGTCTCACTGTGAACTGGGAAAGGAGCTGAGGAGGGGCCCTGGGGATGGCCAGCCCCTCTCCATCTCCCAGCCAGGGCCCTGCATGGGTTTCCAATAAATAATTTCCGCTTCATCTCACCCTTCACTCCCAGCTCCTGCCCTGGCGGGCTCCTTCAGACTGGCCAGCTGCAGCCGGTCCCCTCCACCCCCAAGCTGGCGCTCAGCTGTGGCTCAGGGGCTGCTTGTCCCCTAGCGGCCATGGCAGGTTTTGCAGCACATCTGGCGGAAGTAGGCTCGGCTGCAGAACTGAAATTTGAGCACTAGGGGGCAGTAGGCGACCTTGTTCACATCCTTGCACTCTGCAGAGGGCGGGAGGGGGTTGGGAATCAGGTCTCGGAGCCTCTGGGCTCCACGTGGATTATTCCAGGCCACCCCTCTAATGCAGCATCCTCTCAAGTGAATATATTTTTCACTCCCTCACAGATGAGAAAGGAAGGCAAGAGGTGGGAGGTGAACTCAGGCAGTTTGGTTCCTGTACCAGGAATAAGTACAAAAATTTTTACTTTGATAGGAAAAAAAAGGGAATATTGAAAGAAGTGGTTCTCAAGGGGATGTGACTTCACCCTCCTGGCGATGTCTGGAGACAGTTTTGGTTATCACCACTGGGGGGAGGGGTCCTATTGGCATCAGGCGGGTAGAGATCAGGGATGCTGCTAAATATCCCACAATGCACAGGGCAGACCCATGACAAAGAATCATGTGGCCCAACACGTCAATAGTACCTGAGGTTAAGAAACTCTGATTTAAAGAAAGAATATTAGGCAAATAATGCGTTATCAGTGGAGATGAATAAGTCGAAGGTTATGGAGGTGGCTGGGGGAGTAACCCCAGTTTGGGCTCCAAAAGGATCAGGTGCCTAAAACGCTGGGCACACAGTGGCACTGAATACATGTCTGTGGTGAGGGGATGGTGCCGGCTGGCCTGGGAGATGAAAAGGCGTTCAGCGGTCGGGGAAGGTCTCTGGCCAATGGTCAACCCCACACTCTCCAGTGGCTTCCTCTGGACAGGGCCCTCCCGGCATCCCTGGGCCTCCTGCCCACATACCTTCCGGGCTGTCCCCGGGGGGCGCGCTGTCGCACTTGGCCTCGCACTGCTGCGTGGCTGGGGGGCGCAGGGCCTCTGCACACT